TTCTCCCATCTGCTTTGTTCTTCCATCCATTATCTTCTAATTCCGTTTTTCCGTGTGAAGTCTCCTCACATGTGTATATACCGACATAACTGGCAAATAATGAGACTTGGGTCATAGACCACCGCAACAAAGCACCTGTTGCCATAAAGCGAGTCACACGAATGTTTTGGTCTCCCTGGGTGTGGAAAAGTGACGTTGATACTCACTGTCGTCTGTGATGGGTGCAGGGGCTTGAAAACAAGTGTGAAGTGTGGTGAGATGCCAGTGCTGGGCTCAGAGACCCAAAGTGAACGCTCGCTGTTGAAGAAATGGTGCCGACAGACTTGTGTGACCCAGTACGGCCACACAGCTTCCCGTGTGCACAACTGCGGCATCCGTGGGTGCAGGAGAGTGGGATGTGCCGGGTCTCTTCACCACTCTGCAGGCGGTGGTTTCGGTGAGGAAGGACCCTCCTTCTGGCGGCTCCTGGGGTGCAGAGCCCTCGGGGTGTGTGCCACTTGTACACACATCTTCCTTTCTTCAGCATGAAGGAAGGACTCGCAGACAGACTCTGGCTCTTCAGACGTGGGCACTTGGCAGAGAGGAACCAGTCACTTCAAGGAAACCAAGTGGCAGTATGATTTTTGCCCGTGATGAAACTGGAATTTTCCAGCAAAAATCAGAATTTTGGAAAGACACTATGAGGCTCGAAGCTTCACAATACTTTAGAGACGTTTCCAGTACTCTCCACAACGATCTTAGCACGTCTTACAGATCTCATGTAAAGAAATGTCTACTTTTGGAGGTCGCTGTAATTCAGGGAGCCGGCTTTTTTCCAAAATGACTGACACATTGTAGAATTCCAAAATCACAAAGTGGTAAAAGAGCCAAAAAGCAAGATGGTAGGCTCCCTGATAGAATTTCAGATTCCACACTGTAACAAACCTCTAGAGAAAACACGATGCATTTTCGTGTAGCATCCAAGAAAAATGCATACTGTGATTTGAAGAGGCCATTAGAATACTTCCCTTTTCAACCAAGGGGTCCTGTGTCACCGTGGACTAAGCATAGGGAGGCTCACCACACGGTCGGCGGTTCAACCCCACCAGTCACGCTGCAGGAATAAGATGACAGCCTTGGGAACCCTGATTCTACTCTTTCCTTTTCAGGGTCTGTGTGAGGTAGAGTCAGCTTGATGGCATGGGATTTAATTTTGGTTTCTTTCTCCAGCTACTTATTTGCAAGAAGCTGGGTTTTCTTTTCATACTTGAACCAAAGCAACTTTGTGCAGTCAAGTTGGTGGAACCTGGTAAAGTCAGCCTTCCTTCGCCTGTGGGATCACACACTGTGCCCTGGACGTGATTTCTGGTGTGCTGGTGGTACAGTGGTTTCCTAGAGAGGCAAAACCAGTGAAACATACATAGGTGTGTGTATAAAGAGATATAGGTGTGTGTATAAAGTTTCCATCCAGGAAATGGCTTACAGTGGTAGAGTCCAGGTCCCCCGTGGAAGAGACAGAGCTTTTCCTGCACGTCTGTTAACTAGGATGCAGGCTGCACGCCCATCCTTTCAATTGACTGGCTGATCTTAGCTACTCATCATAGAGTGAACTTTGCCTGTGTTAGGTTTTATCACCATGGGAACAAGCACATCCCAACTGCTAATCTACTGGGCATCCCAGTCTAAACAAGTCAACACAGAGCCCTTAGTAGTCCA